TTGACATGGCCTTTGGGGCGGAACAGCCGGGTCTTCGGCGACCCCAAAGGCCTCTGGGAACAAATGGCTTTTCCAGTACAAAAGGAGATTTCTTGCTCCTTCCGCAACCAAGTTGGACTTTTGTTGGAAGTCGCTTGAACGGATCCGGTGAGTGGGCCCTACCTGACTCGAGCTCATGAGAGTCTATGGGGACCCCATCAAAATGGATTTCGGTCTTCCTTTTGATTTTTCTTCAAGCTAACCTGCAAATGGTACCCTCCAGAAGCCGCTTTCACGCCAGGAAGAGAAGCAGAGCGGGTGCCCCCGCACTTGCATGCGAGTCCGATCAAGGCATGAACATTTTTACATTGCGCAACAGCAGCATCGCAAGTGTCCCAGGCTATGAGTTTTAATAGGGACCGAAAGTGGTTGGTGGATATGAATCACGACCTAAATGACGTAAACTCATAACTTAGGTCGTGTATTGCCCTGAGAGGGATGTGGCTCAGCTGGCAGCCTTCTGGGGCACTTGGCAGCAATGGGCATTGCAAATCTGGACTCCAAACCGACGTGAACTAGCGCTGCGGTAATGAATCTGTTGCTGCTCGCGGGCATTTTGTTTGTCGCCGGAAAAGACACTCCCGGTAAAACGCAGATCCGGGTGATCAAGCCGATGAATCTGTCGGCGCTGGTTTTCATGCATGTGTTCAAAGCTGGAGGCACGTCCTACGGGGCGGCTTTGGCCAAGTATGCGCGAGCACACAAGATCCCGTTCTTCACGGACATGCGGCAGGGCAAGCAGATGGTTTTGCCCAGCGCCATTCTGGAAATGAACAAGAAAGCCAAGCATTTGGCAGAGGACTGGGAGCTCAATGTGTCTGGACACAACCAGCTGGGTCCACTTAGGGGAATACCAAAGGTGATGTAATTTAACCCCAAACAGCAACCACCACCCAAGCGGTTCAACCATCTGTTTTTTTTCTTATTCTTTTTTCCATCTTTTTATTTTTTCTCAATATACAACTAAAAATGTTTGATTTCCTTTCGGTCCAGTTTGAGACATTGAATCCCTCAGAGGCGCCGTCCGGCCGCGGCTTCACCATCTTCCATGGGCATTTGTGCGATTTGGGCCTTGCGAAGCTCAATTCGTTGCACGGAGGCCCTCAGGTTGCCCCCACTTGTTCTTCGGTTCCCAGCCATCCATTTCTATAGTTTTGTATGTTTTTTCTTTTTAATATATATTTTTTGTGGCAGTTTCCACTAAACCCACAAGTCAAACTTTCAGGACATCTGAGGACAGCCCAGTTTTGTTTGTTTTTTGTATTTAAAGCCCTTTGGGGTACAGTGGAGGGCAGTTTTGGCCAAATCCAGAAACCGCCAACAGTTGGGATTGGTGGCATATCCCTGGTACTTGGGGGGTAATGCTGCTGGGGTCGTTTTTGAACAACCGCGTCTCGGGGTTAAAGTCACAATTTTTCTGAATTTAACAGGCAGATTGCGGAATTTATCAGGCGGCGTTTCTCAATCCAACTTTATTTGACAATGACCAAGTAGTAGGGATGGGTATTAGGGATATCTATTCCACTTTGGCGAGTCACAGATTTGGGAGCCTTCATTTTTCTCACTCATGGCTTCGTTTTCTTTGTACCGGAACAGGTACAAAGGTATCCTCTCATTCGTTGGGTTCAGCCAGGTGGCATGTAGGGTAAATTTGGAGCTTGGATCGGCACAGTCGAAATTGTACGGCCCCAAAGACGGGATCTGTGGGGTTTCCTTCGCTGGGTTTCGCTCTCCACCCCCGGGTTTTTGAACCTCCGGAGCCTCAAACGAATCCAGTGGACCGCTCCCGGCTGCGTCTTTCTTCGCGAGGCGTGCTGGGGCCATTTCTGCGGGCGCCTCTCTTCGTGGCGGTGTTGCGGGAGCCGTCGGCGCGGTTGGTCTCCGTGTTCCTGCAGCTCACCGCGGGGTTGCGGCACGAGCGGGGGGCCGCTCTGTCCATGGACCCGAAGACGTTGCAGGGGGGGCGGATGGACAAGGACCGGCTGGAGGACTTGGTATGGGGATGGGTGGGTCGCGGCCGAAACGTTTAAGATTTGAACGGGACGGGCACCCCACGGGCTCGCTGGTCCAATTCCTTCCAGGAGCCGCAGGGTGGTTTTGACAGTTTGGTGGGTTCTTCGTTTAAGGGCATCCCCAAAGAGGAAAGTTTCCCTTTGTTGTTATTGGCATGTCTTCTTTTTTTGCTTGGTTCGTTTTGAGTAGGAGGCTGCAAAGAGCATCGTTTTTGCCACCCTAAGGCTGTGACAGTTCCACAGAAGTGGCTTTGGACTTTCGCCTGGGATCGAAGGACATGTTCGCCCAGTTCATGCGGCAGCAGGAGGTCGCCCAGTGCCGCATCGTGCCCAACCAGGTGCTAGGTGACCCGGCGTTTTCTTTTTTTTTTGGCTGGTGCCATTGGTAGGGAATGTGGGGAATGAGAGCCGGTTTTGGGGATTCTCAGGGAGTGAGAATTGGAATGACCCGACAAAAACAATTCCAGGCCCGATGTGGTTTCCTTACATGGATTTGGGTACGGCAGACCATTTTCATGCCAGGTGTTGATTGTGACCCAGTTCTTTTTCTAGGGTTTGATTCCCCAAGCATCGTTCTTTCCAAAAACTGGCCGTTTTCCCTGGGTTTCCGGAGGTTTTCTTAAAAGAAGCCCCTAGACTTTTGGGTCGTTGGCGTGTTCGACCCCAGGTGCTGCCTGGGCGTCGCCCTGTGCTTCGGTGCATGCCTTGGACTCCGCAAGACTGGCATCCATGAGCCAGCTGCTGGATCCTCGAATTGACCCTAAGAAATCAAGCCGACCGTCTGTTCTGGGGTCGCCTCCAACCCGTTTTTTGTTTTCGCCTTGTTTCTGGGGTCACCTCCAAACGTTGTTTTTCTTCTTTTTCTTTTCGTTGTTTTCTACATGTAGAGTATGCGAAACACTTAGGGCCAAATTAACAACCCCCCAAAACTTGGCTCACGTCGGGGCACAGCAAGTTATTATTTCTTGTGTAGTCTACATAAGATTAGATTAGGAGATCCCGGAAAACGGGTAGTCAAGGGTCCCTTCAATGATACACCTAAAAATAACCTGGTAGGTGTAGAGACCCGTCAAAACAGCTGGTTTTGAAAGGGAACCTTGATCTCTCAACCAGGCCTGTGCATGGGATTCCTGCATAAGCCAAGATGAACATCAAGAAGGGCGGCTCAAGGGAAAAAGGCAACCATCGACTTGTGAAGTATTGAACATTTGTCTATGTCAGGAAGCCAGGACAGACTCTTTTTTCCAGCAGGCCTCTGGCTGATTGGCAACTAGCAGGTAATCCTCAATTGGCGGTTTGGGAATTTGAACCCTAGTTCCTAATGGAGGGCTTGTCTGTTTTGGAGGGAACCTCCTTTTGGTTTAAAGCAGAACCAAAGGGAACACCAAAGCCATTTTTGGGGTCTATTCATATCCCTATTTTGACATATACTCATGCCAGAATGGTGGTTTGCCTTTTCATTTCCCTTTAATGTTGACCCAGGATTAATAAATCCGTCCCATTATTAGGGTTCCCTCCAAAAGTCATGAATCCCCAATAAAAGGTGACACCCCCTATTCATCAACCAGGGCTTCTGCTTCATCCGGGGTCAACATTCATATCCCTACGGCACATACCCAGCCACAAATGGTGGGTTTTTCCTTTTCATCTCCCAACAAAAAAAACCAGAATCCACACCCAGCCATAATTCACACGCCACAGGCAGTGCCCCCCCCCCCCCGAAAAAAAACGAATTCCGCCGGCCGCCCATGTCTCCGGGGCCCCAGCGCCCGAGACCAGCGCCCCGAGGAGCGCTCCGTGCTGCCGCTGCTCACCGAGCGGACGCTGGACTCCGCGGCCTTGCTGGACCACTTCCTGGCAGGTCCGGAACGTTCCGGGGACGAAAAGCCGCCGCGCCAGGTCCGTCCTTTGAGTTGTGGTTCTAGTTTTCTTCTAGGCCTTGATATAAAAAATCAAATGGGGGCTGCTAGAAAGAACTCCAGCTCGGTGATCTCTAGGGGATCAATCCTCCGGAATGCTCATCCGCTCCGCGAGCTCTGCCGTTTTGGTGGGTCTTCCGGAATTGGGACCACACACCCACGAAAGATTGGCAATTTTTCCGGCCTGTCTTTCTTTGTGAGGGTAAGCGGCGGGCAGAAAAGTCCTTGGCTGAAATGTGTCACATATTTTTGATAGGTCTGGAGCTACGCCGCGCATATTTTTTGGTCCACACATTGTAAAACAATGGACCATAAACCGTACACCAAACGTAATTTTCTGGTCTGTCCTTTTTTCCAGGGTTTTTTAGGTGGTGCAGGATTTTGTCCATCCGCGCTATTTTTCCGGTCTGTCCTTTTTTCAGGGGCCCCTCCCCTCCCCCCCCCCCCCCCCATTTTTTTTTGGTGGTTTTGAAAGGACAACTGGCAATTGTTAGGTGACAACAAAAGACAGACCCGTATTGGGTGAAACTGTGGAACAGACTCAGACAATTCAGTGCAGGCAACTTTTTGAAGCATGTAGATTTCTCAAAGTAGGCCAAGCAATAAGGGGTCCACTATTTGGAGAACCCCCCATTGAACAGATGCAATTCGATTTTCAGTGTACAGTGGGCCAAGTTAAAGTGGTAAGATAGTCATGGGGGTGGGAGTTCCCCGTCAGTATCAGAGATTCCGAGCTATTTGCCAGAAATGCCAGGCGCTGGATACAAGCATGCCCCATCCGTGCGCCAGTTCATGCTGCGAAACCCCTTCCGGTGCGGGAAATATCAGGATTGGAGGCAGGGACGGAGGCACGGGGCGCTGGAAGAATGCCGCGATGCTGAGGGCTACCATGTGGACCAAGGGGCTCGGCTTTTGTCCGACGCTATACGCCATGTGGTTTCAGAGTACATGGGTTATGAGATGTGGCTCTACAGCAACTGGGTCAATCAATTTGGCATACATCTTTGCCCTTAAAAAGATGGAAGAACATATTGGGATTCAAAGTTTGGGGGTTTGCTCGAAGGCAATGCAACATCTCTTTTCAAGCGCTACCTGGAAGTCTACAGTATCGACTCCAGCACGGAGCCGTGCAACATCAGCACCTCGGAGGGGTGCAGCAAGAAGCAACGCGCCTACCTGGACATTTGGAAGAAGAAGTCGCTTTCGGAGATCCAGGCGGAACTCGGACGACAGAACGACTTGAGGCGCCTTTCGAGTGCCAAAGAGATCCAGGCGCTGCGAAAGGTGCCGGTCCTGGAGGCGCTCCAGAAGAAGTTGCGCGAGGAGCTGTGAGTTGAGGTTCGGCGAGCTGCGCCAAGAATCGAATCCGAAGCCAGAGAGCGGAGCGCCGGCTTGCCGAAGCCAGGGGCCAAGGTGTCGAAGTAGGGAAGCCCGAAATGGCAGCTTTCCTTTTGGTTCCATTCTGAACCAGGCTGCCCACCTTCCGAAGGACGAGGAATGGCTGGAAGCTTTCCAGTTCGATTGCGAGCAATCATATTTGGTCTTCTCATGGAGACGACCGGCAGGCAGATGTGATTGGCATCGCAGATATCCCTTTCAAGTTAACATTGGCACGGTCAACCTGCACTGCGTGGCATGTGATCAAACATCCCCTCACAGTTGTGTGTTGCAGTGCATGCTCGATGACAGTGCACACGAGTGTACTTCTTGATTGACAAACCTCGCATAGTTGACGCTCCCTTCAGATTCGACTCGCGATTTCTGGTGTCAGTTCGGCAGGCCTTGTGAAGAGTTCGCTTTCACAACTCCAGTGTCTTGCCCCATAGCCACGTGGACCACCAAATAAACCCACACTTCAATTGGATTCAGGCCACGTGAACATGCTAGATCTTTGCGTTATGATCCACTTGTTTGAAGCGCCTTGCTAAGGGGCACGGAGACTGAACTTCAGTCCGAACCATGGGTTTTCCTGCAGCCGTTGGAGTTATAGCATGAAAGTCCTCGACTCATAGCTTTTGGGTGGCGCCCTTCGCCCTATTGCCCATGGCCAAATATTTGGCTCTTGGTCTTTGTCTTCTCTGCAGAGGCGATCCTTGCGGATCCGATGACTGCGACAGCCTTGGCTTGTTTCAGCAACGGATTCATGGAAGCCACAAGTTGCAGAGGGAGGGCGGACTCGCTCCTCCAAGCGGTCCAAACGCGGAAGTGCAGGCGACCTACGCTGCTCTGACCTTTGCATTGAATGAGAGCACAGACTTTGTGAAGGACAAGCTCACCCAGTCTCCGTTGATTCCCAAACAGGCCGTCAGTCTGGGTCTTGGGATTAATATGGAGATTGATCACGTTATGGCCCTCAACAGGCCAGATCTGGTATTTTTCGACCCAGTTTGGACTGAAGCAGGTCTGCAAGTCGACGTGGACATTCACAACTTACATGCTTCGGGTCTTTTGGACGTGACTGCCCCCCAGTCAAAGGGCCATCTCAACCTCACCGGAGGAGGTCATTTTCGTGTGAGTCTCAGCACTGCGGTTTCAGATGGCCGTTTGGCTGTGACGCGGCGGCCGAGTGGCCTCCATCCTTTTACACATTCTTTTTTTCGCCCGGGCATTTCCAGTGAAAGCAAGCCTTTCCCCATTTTTTTTGGGCAGGCCACAAGAATTAAACATTCCATGTTTGGGTTTCCCGTCAACAGGTTGCCCTTCAAAGTCAACAGAGACCACAGGTGCCTTGTTTCATCTTGAGATCCACTGGTTCCCTTATCTCCAGTTTGTTTTCAAAAGCCATCTCCCCACCCCCCCAACAACAGAGAGTCCTTTTTTCCCCCAGAAAATCTGTGCCACGGTATTTGAGAAACGTATTCCGACTTGAACCCAAAAAACACTTCTGAGGTGAAAGTGTACTTTTGTTCCCCTGAAAATCTGTGCGTCTCGGTCTTTGAACCAAACCTCAGCCTTCTTAATCCTGACATGGTTCTGGGTCAACCATTTTAGTACCAGGTTTTGATTATGACTCAGCTGAGGTGAACAAAGAGTCCTTTTTTTCCCCCTGGAGATCTGTGCCACGGTATTTGACAGGTCTTCCGACTTACAAAAACACCAAACCGCTGAGGTGAAAGTCGTTCAGCTGGTGGCTCAAAGCCTCAACGTGGTGCCCGCGATTCACCTCAGCTGCACCTCCGTGGACTTCCTGAGCGCAGTGCCCTGCGCCGTGATCGGCGCGCTGCAGGGCGATGTGCCAGGAGCGCGCCATGAGCAGGTCACTAGTTAGTTAGCTAGCTAGTTAGTTAGTTAGGTTGGTAGTTAGTTAGTTTTTTGTGTGTTTAGTTAGTGAGTGAGTGAGTGAGTGAGTGAGTTAGTTAGTTAGTTAGTTAGGTAGGTAGTTAGTTAGTTAGTTCGTTAGTTTTTGTTTTCTTGGTAGTTAATTGGTTAATTTATTAGATAAGTAGTTAATTATTTCGTTCGTTAGTTTTTTTTTGGGTAGTTAGTTAGTTAGTTAGGTGGTTAGTTAGTTTGTCAGTTTGTTAGTTAGTTCGTTAGATTTTGTTAGTTAGTTAGTTAGTTAGTTAGTTAGTTAGTTAGTTAGGTAGGTAGGTAGGTAGGTAGGTAGGTAGGTAGGTAGTTAGTGGGTTAGTTAGTTCGTTTTTTTTTTTTTTTTAGTTAGTTAGTTAGTTAGGTAGGTAGCTAGTTAGTTCGTTAGTTTTTTGTTAGTTAGTTAGTTAGTTAGTTAGTTAGTTAATTAGTTAGTTAGTTAGTTAGTTAGTTAGTTTTTGCTTTTTAGTTAGCTAGTTAATTAGTCTGATAGATAGTTAGTTTTTGTTTTTTAGTTAGCTAACTAGCTAGCTAGCTGCTAGCTAGTTAGTTAGTTAGTTAGTTAGTTAGTTAGTTAGTTAGTCAGTTAGTTAGTTAGTTAGTTAGTTTTTGCTTTTTAGTTAGTTAGTTAGTTAGTTAGTTACTTAGTTCGTTAGTTAGTTTTTTTTTTTTTTTTTTTTTTTTAACTTAGTTAGTTTTTTTTTAGTTAGTTAGTTAGTTAATTAGTTAGTTACTTAGTTAGTTTTTGCTTTTTAGTTAGTTAGTTAGTTAATTAGTTAGTTAGTTAGGTAGTTGGTTAGTTGGTTAGTTGGTTAGTTGGTTAGTTGGTTAGTTGGTTAGTTGGTTATGGTTAGTTGGTTAGTTGGTTAGTTGGTTAGTTGGTTAGTTGGTTAGTTAGTTAGTTAGTTAGTTGGTTAGTTTGTTAGTTAGTTTGTCCGTTAGTCCGTTAGTTGGTTGGTTGGTTAGTTAGTTAGGTGGTTAGTTAGTTTGTCAGTTTGTCAGTTAGTTGGTTAGTTAGTTAGTTGGTTGGTTGGTTGGTTGGTTGGTTGGTTGGTTGGTTGGTTGGTTAGTTAGGTGGTTGGTTGGTTAGTGCGTTGGTTAGGTAGGTAGTTTGTGAGATGGTTGGTTGGTTGGTTGGTTGGTTGGTTCGTTGGTTCGTTGGTTAGTTAGTTTGTGAGATAGTTGGTTGGTTGGTCGGTTAGTTGGTTGGTTGGTTGGTTGGTTCTCATGGATGAGCCCTAAGTTCCAAACAAGCCGCCAACCAGAACAGAGAGCATCGAATGAAGCCTTTGTGCAATCATGATACAACCACTATGGTTCAAACAACCTCCCTTTGTGTCTCTTAGGGAGGCCAAGTCGGGTTTGGTTGTTGAAAACCAATTGAGCACCTAAAGCCCTTGGCCATTCTTGTAGGTGGTTCTACTGCCTGGTTTCGTAGTTTCATGGGGCTTGTAGCAATGCCGATTCACCGGCTTTTATTCATGTTGGTAGGTTTAGTGGGTAGTTCTAGTTTACTCACTGATTTGGCAAGATTGCAACAAGGCCTCTATAAACCTTTGTAGCCATTCTTGTAGAACCAACAGTTCACATTCTCGCCATGAGTAGGTTGTGGGCGCTGCTCGAGTGAGGTTCTTTTTGGTGGGTGTTTTTAGATGTGCAAAGGGGAAACACTGGGGAGTCCTTTAATGACCAGGATGAAGCACCCCTGTTTGGTTTCCCTTGAAGACCAAAAACAGGTGCTGGTGGTTGAAACACATTTTGCAGATAACCTTGTGCCAAGTTCTAGGGCAGGGCTCTCTATATTTCCGGTTGGGCCCATTTTCGGCGAGTTTCTGGGGGAACTCTGACGCGCATGATTTTTTGAGGGCCACCCTTTTCAGGCTTGAGAGGGATACCAAAGGCATACCAGTTTTTGTGTTTTTCCGTTGTGACCGACACTCGTGTGGAAATACAATATTGGTCATGTCTCCACACAGACACACACACACACACACATCGTGCCCACACAAGTCCAATTAGTAGAATCTGTTTCTGAAACCCACGGGAACCAACTGAACCCAAATCTCCAGGATTCATCGTGGACATCATCGTCTTCTTCGCCCAGTCAAGCATCGAAGAGGCCCTGAAGAATGTGGTGGAGAGCAGCCTGGCGTTTTTTTCCCACTTCGATGAGGTCCTCGAAAGTCAACCCCCGTGGGAGAGACAGATGGCCATGGGTCAAAATCCTAATTGTGCCCCCCAGTGAACATCCCAATCTCGACTAAAATAGGTTCTAAAATGGGTGGTGGATTCACCTACCTCAAAATGGGATCCCAAAACGGTTTTGACCGACAGCCACTTGAGCGAAGAAAAGAGACACTCTGGTGGCTTTTCTGTTTCCTCTAAATCCAAAGGGTGTATGTCGAAACCGAGGGGGTTCTGAAACAGAAAGATTTCCCGGCGCCGCTTCTTTTTTTGGGCTGAGGCAAGCTGGCGGAGAACCTGGCCACGATCCCGCGGAAGTTTCCGCTGCAGTTCGGGAACAGGAGCGGCGAAACCGGGTGCGTTTTGGTTTTGGGCCGCACTTTTTTGTGTTTCAACGGGCAACCACAGGGGAAAGCCGGCTTTTTTGTTTGTTTTGGGTTTCTTTGGCCTTATGTTTGAGATATACCGGATATACTCCAATGAGGGGTGCTTTTGGCCTGTATTTTCCACAAGGCTTACTTTCTGAACCCTCTGGGATGACCGAATAGCCACCTCCATCGGCAACACACCCCGCTCTCCCGGTCCCGCTTTGGAAGCATGCCAAGACGCATGAGGGAGAATGGGTCATGCGGAAGTCCCGCTCTTTCTCCTCGAAGCTCCGGAAAGTTCCAGGGTTTGGACCCTCGAAATGTCGGGGACTTGCAGCTCCCTGCCTGAAATGTCCGGCCTTCCTTTGAGGCCAAGTCGGGAAGGTGAAGCTGAACACTGGCAAGCCAGTCCCAAGTGGCTATCCACCCTCTGGGTTCATGGCAGTAGGTTCGCGACCGAACTCCTCACCGGTTTGGAAAATGGAGGGTACTCTGAAAAGCGGTCGAACTTGTAGTCACTCTTCAGTCGGCAGGTGAACCTCTTATCCTTGTGCACATGGCGGCTTGCTATCAACAAGTTGTGTTTAGCTCTTGGAAAACAATTGCTTCCCATCAACTGTTAAAGGTGGTCAGGACATCTTAGATGCCACAGTTCCCAGTGATTTATGACCAACAAACCCGCAGGGGGCTTGTGCCATTTTTTGTTCTTCACCGAACAGGCAGAGGTGTCCTTTTTAGGTTAGTTTGGTTAGACATAGCTAGCCCTGGTTCATATTAGTTTTATTCCATTTATCAGGGCCATCCTATCTTGCCTGCCTAAAGGTCACCCAACAGGCGTCCCAAAAAAGGTAAAATGTAGGGGGGCCACCCCACCCCCCCGCCCCAACGCGGTGAGTTTTGGGCCTTGGTGCCTCCATTCGAGGCCATCCTGTTTGCACCTTGCCTTTGACCTTCTGGGACTCACACATTTACCGCACATGAAATCCGCTGCCCTGCAGGCAGGGAGTGACATGTCCGTTTGTCCGACGGTGGGACATGGGTGAGTTTTTTTGTTGGGGGTCTAAAACTTCTTGGTGTAAAAAAACACCGAAGCACGCGGACCGAAGAGGGGCTAGTTTCCCTTCTTGCATTGAACGACCACCCCAAAGAGGAACATGTCTTTTCGAAGGCCCAAACGCCTGGTGTCTGGGGATAAGTTCCGAAACCGGGTCCATTTTAAGATTTCACCCCCCACCCTTTCCGCATGGGGTTCTGACGTTCGGGACAAAAGTTTCCTTCAAATTGAAAATCGGACCAGGAACCACGAAAATGTCCGGTTCCACGTGGATTGGTGAGACCCTCCGGCTACCCAACCCAAACGCATCTCGCTCGCGGGAGGTGCAGGCGGTGGACGCGTGCCGTGGCCAGTCCGTGGCCTCTGCGCCCAACAGCTCCGTGGAGCTGGCGCCGCCGGCGCAGGTGGGGGCCTGGAAGCCTGGGTGATATCACCGCCCCACCCCCGCCCAAACCAAAAAAGAAACAAAGCGAAGACAAAGAGCAAAACACAACAAAACGAAAAACACAAAATACAGCAAGGTCAGATTGTAGTTTTTCCCCCAACAGCTGAAAGCTTTGGGGTCTCAGCCCAGATAGGCTCCGGGGCGGCCCTGAGGTAAGGTTCCACGAGGGTTCCACGAGGGTTCCACCAGGGTTCCACCAGGGTTCCACCAGAGTTCCACCAGGGTTTTACCAGGGTTCCACCAGGGTTCCACTGGGTGCGAAGTGGTGCGAGCACTACAAAAGAGCACCGCATGCTGTTGGGGATATCACCCGAGCTTATCATTTTTCTTCTCCGGAGTCATTAGTCTGGGGAACCCCGTGGTTACTCTTCGTACAAACCAACCGACACAATGTGCGCTTTGAACCTTTGGGAGAATGACACAGACGCTTCCCAGCAAACAACAAATGACTTTTCTTGGTGGCTCCCAGCCATCCCTTTAGCCTTTTAGCCTTTAGCCTTTTGGTGTTTAGTGGTGGTTTAACTTTTAGCGGGTGATCTGAGGGCAGCCCAGTTTTGTTCGAGCAACCAGACGAGTTCCAGAAACGAGCCAGGTGTACAACACCTCCATGTTCTCCATAACGCTCAGCGGCAGCGTGGCCAACGATGTCTTGCAGATCATGCATGACACTCAGCTGCTGCAGGTCACTGTGTTCCCCAAGGATATTCCGGCGGACAGCACGTTTCTGGGCTCAACTCTGGTTGGCTCGCAGATAGTCAGGAGTTCTCTGGTTCTGTATCGGGTTTTCAAAAGGGTAGACCCCTTTTCGGATCCCCCCCCTTGAGGGGTCTCAAATGACCATGGGAAACTTTTCCCATGTGGGACATATCTCATTTTGTTTTTGCGGTTTCCCAACCAATGGTCAATCCCACTCCTTTTTTTTCTCCTTTTTTTTTTCTTTCTCTCGGACCTTGTGATCAACCCCCATATCCATTCGGACCCCCAAATCTGGCAGGTTTGGTCTGGATACCAACACTCTGGGCTGGGCCTTCTATTGCCCCTGGCTGGCGACCAAGTATCTTGGTCGGGTATAAGTCTTTTAGCTTGTTGTTAACCATGTTTGTATTTTCCCACTAACCTGCAACAAGCAGCATTTGGGTTCAAGTCTTCACTTAGCTTCAACTACCTTTGGATCTACCTCTAGCTTCTTGCTTGAACATGTTTGTCCGTTCAATTTCTTTTTGTTTTAATAAAACAAATCTGGTTTTGGTTTTGGTTTTGTATTTTGTTCCCCAGCCAAGGTACATCTGGGAATGCCCCTACTGGGATCCTTGCCCTGTGGCAGCCACGATTCGATCTTCCAGCCCTCCACAGGCCGGGCGCACGGAAAAGTCCACCAACAAAACCATCCCCCAAACGCCGACTCACGTTTTTTTTGGTGTGTGTGTGTTGTTTTCTTCTTTGTCCCCCTTTTTTTTGATAACACAACAATATGATAGCTTTTTTTTTTCACCATCAACATTTATATTACATTGGCGACCAATGGGTGATGTTTAAAACCACCCTTCAATTCAGGGGACATATTACTATAGTATAGGGAAGCATGACAGGTGCAGATGCGGGAAGGTGGGGTGGAGATGACGATTCCCTTGTCAGTGGATTTCCTCTTGCTGGACTTTGCGGAGAACGAAACGTCCACGTCATTGCGAAACAGCACCTTCCTGTGGAGAGTCAACACCACTGCGCATGCAGTGATGCTGCCAAAGGTTGCAAGTAACAGAGGTGCGCCATGTAAGCAGACCTTCAAGGCGACCGTTGACTCTTTGAATGCAACCTGGTTTGATGTCACAGAGACGATGGAGGACTCCTGGGTGGCTACTGCTCTTTCCATTAACGTTTTCATGCCGGTACTGCTGAGTTATCCGCTGGAGATCATGAATGAGCACCTGGATGAGGGCGTGCCTATCGATGCAATTGGACTGGGCAGCTCCTTGTACGCCTTTGCAAATTCCTCTTTGTCGCCATCTGCTGATAGCATCCTCTTCAACACCGATGTGCTTCTAGCCGAAGATTGCTGATGCCACAGAATTCAGTAGAACACGACTTAGGATCAGAACAAGTGATCCGAAGTGATTCAATCCAGAAAAACCGAGCGTGGGTGTGGGTCAAAATTGGGTACCCAAAAGGCCCAAAATGGCTTGCCCTGGGTAATGGAACGGACTCAAATCTGCGGTCCGATTCCTAGTGGTCTCATTTTGATCCAGAAACTGCGCGTGTTGCACAGCTCACAAATCGGTCACAGGGCGATGCATTGCCAGCGCCTTTCAGCGCCGCTCCCAGGTACCTCCAGGAGCTGCTACAAGATCCGTCCTCCTCTTGAGGCCGCTGTAGAAGCCCATAGAAGCTGTGCTTGAGCCACAGAAAGAAGACGTGTTTTCGAGCGGTTCATCGCTTGACCGCTCATAGGTTCAGGTAATTTTTGGTGGTTTGGATTAAAGGGATTTGAACCCTGGTTCTTGTGGGTAAATGGGAAGCCGAGGAAGCCTAGCCTCCAAAGCTTGAATGACCACCAATCGGAGGGAAGCTGAGGCCAAACACGCCCCAAATCGCAAACTCCAAAACGAAGGGTACTGGTTTTGTGTGGCCAGTCTCTATTCTTGGTTGTGCGCCACTTGCTCTTTGACCTTGCGCCGCTGCCATATGATCGGCGTATCAGCCTTGAGTCAATGACAGATCAAGATAGACAAAAAACATGATAGCCCGAAGGTTAGATCTCTGTGCGAAAGTTAGCTTCCGTGCTGTGGCACCATGGCAACTCGTGTGCTGACCTCAATGATCTTGTGGAAGGCGGAGAGGAATGCGGGCCGATTTGCAAGAAGACAAACTGAGCCACAATCAACACTTGATGAAGCTACCGGAACAGTCCCAGCCTGAAACAGCCCTTGTGATTCTTTTCCCCAGGTTTGGGTAGAGTTCTTCACCCACTTTTGCTGACTCACCTGGAATTGCTGCCAAGGGCCCAAGAAGGCCTATGATTTCTGGGTGGCGTTCAACTCCATTCCTTTCCTCGGGCCCCTTGGTGCGGATTGAAATTTGAGCCCCCGCTTCGCGGGATACCACGGCCGAAGCCGGGGCTCAGGCCGTGGGCTTCGCTTTGCGCCTTTCTCCCGGCCGCGCTTCCCTCCGGAAGCCGCTGGCGGTCAGGCGCCCCTGGCCTTTTTCTTACGACAAGAAGAAAAGGAAAACCGCCGCCTGCGACGGGGCGTTTTTTTTTTTTCCCGAAGAAAAGGAGTTGGCGTTGATTGCATTTTTGTGGAGTTTTTTTTTTTTGGGGGGGTTTCTTGGTTTGTGCCTTTATAGATGCTTCGACACGCGCATTTTTGTTGTTGAGTCCTTTTTTTCTCCCTAACATCAGGGTTTCGGGGTTTTGGGGGTTTTGGGGGGGGGGGAAAAAATGGAGAAAGTAGGGGGCCTGGGGGGTGGTCTGTTGATGGTTGCCTGTTCTGGTTTTTATGTTCATCTCAAATCTATGTTCCCCCTTATTCGTTTTTAAAAGAGGGTTTTTAGGGAGCTTATTTATCGTTTTCGTTAAGGTAATCATTTGGGTAAATTGTCGCCTTGTTCATTGTTGGGCTGGGGGCAAACATTTTTTTCATTTGAAAGAGGTAGCCCTTTTAGTAGTTATCAAGTTCTGGGGTGTTGGTGGTGCATTTGTTTTGATATATGTTTTGTTATTGAAAGTTTGTTATAAGTTAAAATTATAGTATAATGAAAGGTTAAAAAGATTTACAATGTTTAATCATATTATAATTAAGTAATATGAATCAACTAAATCACTCATGCTTTCCATCTACCTATTCCATCCCACCAGAATTCAATAATTCGCATCTGTCCATCTACTAGACTGTCTTCTTTGTTTAGTTTCCGTATCGCACCTGATAAGATATAGTGGTTAATAATCATTGCTTCACACTTTCCATCTCGGTTTAACTTTTTACCACACTCTTTTATAATGTCTTCGTCTGTTAGGTTTTCATACATTTCATTAATGATGTCAAACCTAACAAAGGAGTATATCGTCATTAAGTTTAGTCCGCTATTGTCTCTAAACCTGTTAATGACAACTTCCCAGAATTCCTCATCTCCAGTTGTAGGCAAAGGGTGGTTATTCACAAAATCCATTATTTCTTTATCCTCTTCTTCAATACTCATACTCTCCTAATATTATAAGGTGCTATTCCTTTAAGTAATTTTATTTAATGTTGAGGGTTCGGGTTCTGGTTGGTTTTGCTTTAACCATTCCTGATGTTTCTTAGTTTTAATATGTTTGCTCATATCTGCTTTTCTTGTAATTGACCCACACTCACACTCAATCTTTTCTTTGTTCTTTTCACTAAGGGCAACTTTACGTGTTTCATAAAGTTCTCTTTGTCTTTTGGTTAATTCTTCTTTATTTTCTTGATAGTGTTCTCTTCTTCTTTCATTTATTTCGTCTTGGTGTTTGTAATAACTTTTCCGCGCTTGTTCATTTACTTCGTCATTAAATAATTCTCGTTTTGTTCTTGCCCTTTCGGCACAGTATTCCTTATTATGTTCATACCATTCTTTTCCTATTTGACTTAGTCTTTGCTTATTGTCCTCACGATATTCTTTCTTGGTTCTTCCTTCTATCTTCTTATTAACACAATCATTGTTTCTGATATGAATGCCTTCTTGTCTTTGAAGCATTGATTTACTATCACTCGGAAATGTCTCTATCAATTCAATCTTACAATTTTCAATACCAAACTCATCAAACAACAAAACAACATTTGTATGTTTCTTTCCAGTTCTTAAGTATTGCTTGTATTTGTCCCTATGCCTTGCCATTCTCATACATAAACATTCACAAGTGCTTCCTATATAACATTTGTTATAACCATTATCGGTTATTTTGTAAATCTTACCATTTTTATAACGGTTCTCCATAATTATCTTTAATTATCATTTCTTTATAGTATTTTCTTTCTAATTAATAATATAATGGTAAGAAGATTAGCAAAAGACGAGATTATCAGTAATGTCTATTACAATCTGGATACTGGGTATGGTAGTATTCAAGCAACTCACAAGAAGGCAAAGGAAGAAGACCCAACAATAACATTAGACGATGTAAAGTCTTTCTTAAAGAAACAACCAAATAAACAAATCAAAAATTATAGAGGCACCAATTCCTACACCGCACCGTTTGCCAGATATGAATACCAAATAGATATAATGCACATGACACCACTTGTTAAGGATAAAGACACACCAGAGTATGCTTTAGTTGTAATTGATATTTTCAGTAAATTAGCGGATGTAGTGCCTATGTTCAATAGAGATGGTGAAAGTGTTGAGAAAGCATTGAGAGAGAGTTTCAAAAGAATGGGATATAGTATGTCGGTGTATTCCGATGACGATGGCGCTTTCGCTAACAAAAACAATGTCCAAAAGTTTTTTGAAAGTGAGGGAATAAACCACATCGTTACGAAGACCCACGCAAATGTGGCCGAGCGTTTTATTAGAACGATGAAAAACAAAATTCACGATAGAGTTAGGTTTAACAACATGAAATGGACCGACGCCCTAACGCCGGCATTGAAACAGTATAACAGCACATCTCACTCATCAACAAGGATGACACCGACCGATGCACACAAGGACGACAATGAAATAAATGTAAAGGTCAATCTTAAACTACGAGAAAAAAACAAAAGAAAGTATCCCAAAATAGAGGAGAACGACAAGGTAAAAGTGTTTCAAAAGAAAAGGGGTAATTACACCGACAGAAAGGAGTATAACTCTAAATGGTCTAATAAAATATTCAATATCGATAAAATTGAATATGATATTATGGGTAATAAAACTTACAAAGTAGCAGAAATAAACAAACCGCTTTTGAGACACGAAATTTTGTTAGTTAATGATTAAACGTATTTCTTGGTGTCTTCTTTATACTTGACTTGATAGTAATCCAGACTTGATTGTTTAGGTTCTTTTATGATTTTTTCATTCAGTTTTTTAACATAAATGTTTCGTTTATTTTTGTATTCGCTACTGTCTCTATCTACTTCTTTTGCTTGATAATTGTTATTGTTATTATATGTAGGTTTAATATTCATGCTCTTTAAGATGTTCAGTATGTTTTCATTTTGCTCCAACACTTTTTCTAATCTTGGAAACAACAACTCTAAACTACTGTCAATGTTCGCTAAATGTTCTTCCATATATACTAAATTATAAAACTAAACTTTTAAAACTAAATGTTGCAATTATGTTAAATCTACTCTTTAAATACTATTTTTTCATCATTTGTTTAACAGTTTCCTGAGTTTCCTTATCGCCACTATCGGATGGTGATGCTTGCCGACCCCATTTAAAAGTTATATTATGAACATCTGTTTCTAAATTGATACTGTCTTTGGTTTTATCGATATTTATTCGTTTATCGTTTTTACTTAGTTTGAAACTTGTCGGAATACACGAACATTTACAATTTCCTTTCTTTTGAATTTCTAATTCATTTTTCATTTCTAACATCTTTTTACACATTGGACAAGCAAACTCAATAACTGATGTTTCTTTAACAATTTCTTCTTTTTCTTCATCACTCGAAGAAACAACTGGCTCGGACTTATTCTTTTTCTTTCTTCCCATCTATATTAATATTTATATTTTTAATATATTGTATTCCTAACTTAATTAATTCTAATGAATAATAACAACATTTCTTAATTTTATTATCGGTTATTATTACTTGTTCTATATTTTCTACTTTATCTATTATATCAATATAATCCGAATAACTTCTATTCATATAAAATAATAAATATAAAATATTTTCTAAATAACTTTAATATTATTTTATTATGTCTGATGTTCCAATAATAAAACCAATAAATATAACTGATTACGATTTCAAACAATCTAAATATGAACATGTACCAAAACTACCTTTTCGCTCAATTGTTGTTGCTTCATCAACGGGTGGCAAAACAGTTTTAATTCAAAACCTTATCCTAAATGTTTATAGGGACTGCTTCGCCCGTATATTCATTTTTAGCCCGTCGGTTCATAATGACCCTACCTTCGTTGAAGTCAAGAAATATCAAAAAGATAATATGAAGGTTGATGACGAAAAAGAAAAGTTATATTATGACACCTACCAACCTGAAGAACTGGAAGAAATAATTAACACACAAAGAAAGATAATTCATTATATGAAAGAACAGAAGATGAAGAAACTACATTCAATTTTAATCATTGTTGATGATTTTGCAGACGACCCTAAATTTGTTAGATACAGCAAGTTATTACATGGACTGGCAACGAGAGGCAGACACGACGCCATTAGTTTTTGCTTAAGTGTTCAAAAATATCGTGTCCTTGCTCCAATCATTAGGTTGAATTCTAGTTCGTTGTATATCTTTAAGTTAAAGAATGTATCAGAGTTAATGTCATTCATTGAGGAAAACTCCGCCATTGTTGATAAAGAGCAACTGTTAAATATGTATCATAAAGCGGTAGATGATAAACCATACTCCTTCTTTTATGTTAATATGAATTCCAAAGATGTTAATAATATGTTTTATGTTAGATTTGAAAAAGCATTTAAAATAAAATAAAGATTGAAATATATTATGATATTTTATGATTTACCATTAGACATTAAAAACCTTGTATTATCTTATAATTTAGGTGATGTTAGATTATTAAAAATAAAAAATAATAATATTATTAAAAATTATATTAGTAAATTTAAACCAGTGTATAAGTCTTACAAATTAAAGAATTCACAGTATTTTGAAATTGATAATATCATTATGAAAAATATTATCAAAAACGGCATATCATATATTTTTAACTTAAGCGAGTTAGATAAATTACATCAAAAACATAAACCATTAAAATTATTAATTGAATATGATATATTTGTTAAATCTACCTCATTTACTTTTTTTAATCATCTTCGTAATCGTACTTTAACATCAAATAATTTATTTGATATTTATTATTTTCTTAATAAAGACCTTTATAAAACTAATTTAGTGTATAGGGACAATGTGGTTAATTTTATTTCATTACAAGTTAGAAAAATAACCATTAAAGTCATCAATTAAGAAAGACAAAGTTTTATTAGTAAATTTTATTCATATTTGTTTAATTAATAATGTTAATGAATC